GTTGCCCCACAAACGCGGGATTCAAGGGCGGAAATCGGATACCGTTCGGCTTAACCGGCTAACTTCGGTCAAACTAATCAGAACCAAGAATTGTGCAGTGGTGTGTGTTACCAGTTGAACTTGGCGCTTGATAACCCACGTGTCTCACATTGTCCAAGCTAATGTCACCTAGCGGCAGTTGGGGCACTATGTTACATTTTTCGTTTCTAGAGGGCATTTTTCGCTAAAGTGTCAAAACGTTGACGAACACGATAACAACGAAACACACCCTTTAGATCTGCCGAGACTTGATCAAATGAACGGGCACACCCCCTAAACTTGACACTTTACCTGTGACCTGGGCACACCCACTAGACTTGACATTTGACCTGTGACCTTGGCACACCCACTAGATTTGACCTGTGACCTTGGCACACCCACTAGATTTGACCTGTGACCTTGGCACACCCACTAGATTTGACCTGTGACCTTGGCACACCCACTAGATTTGACATTGGACCTATCCCCCTTGGAACACCCCCCTGGACTTGACATTTGACCTGCGACCTGCGTACAACCAATAAAGTTGACACTTTACAGAGTTGACACTCAGAATTGTGACCTGGGCACACCCGCTACACTTGACCTATGACTTGGGCACACCCACTACACTTGACATTTGACCTGTGACCTTGGCACACCCACTAGATTTGACATTTAACCTGTGACCTGGGCACATCCACTATACTTGACCTGTGACCTCTGTGCCCCACGGTATAGTTGACACTTGACCTGTGCCTTACTAATTTTAATTACCTACAAGCGCCACCTATCGGATGTTGGCTGTTTTTCAGGGCTAGAGGGCGGGCTTTTGCTTTAAGTGCCTAAACGTTCTTAAAACGTTAGAACAATGCCATACTTCAGAGTTGTGACCGAACGTTTTCCGTGATTAACCCCTAGAGTCCTGAAGAACGTTTTTCGTGGCCACCCCCTTTAGAGTCGTGACTGAACGTTTTTCGTGGCCACCCCCTTTAGAGTCGTGACTGAACGTTTTTCGTGGCCACCCCCTTTTGAGTCGTGACTGAACGTTTTCGTGGCCACCCCTTTAGAGTCGTGACTGAACGTTTTCGTGGCCACCCCCTTTAGAGTCGTGAAGACCGTTTTTCGTCGGCACCCACTTTAGAGTCGTGACTGAACGGTTTTCGTGGCCACCCCCTTTAGAGTCGTGACCTAACGTTTTTCGTGGTAAACCCATAGAGTCGTGACCGGACGTTTTTCGTGGTAAACCCATAGAGTCGTGACTAAACGTTTTTCGTGGCCACCCCCTTTAGAGTCGTGAAGAACGTTTTTCGTCGGCACCCCCTTTAGAGTCGTGAAGAACGTTTTTTGTGGGCACCCCCATTCAGAGTCCTGACTGAACGGTTTTCGTGGCCACCCCCATTTAGAGTCGTGACTGAAGGTTTTTCGTGGCCACACCCTTTAGAGTCGTGAAGACCGTTTTTCGTGGGCACCCACTTTAGAGTCGTGACTGAACGGTTTTCGTGGCCACCCGCTTTAGAGTCGTGAAGAACGTTTTTCGTGGGCACCCCCATTTAGAGTCGTGACTGAAGGTTTTTCGTGGCCACACCCTTTAGAGTCGTGAAGACCGTTTTTCGTGGGCACCCCCATTTAGAGTCGTGACTGAACGGTTTTCGTGGCCACCCGCTTTAGAGTCGTGAAGAACGTTTTTCGTGGCCACCCCCATTTAGAGTCGTGACTGAACGGTTTTCGTGGCCACCCCCATTTAGAGTCGTGACTGAACGGTTTTCGTGGCCACCCCCATTTAGAGTCGTGACTAAACGTTTTTCGTGGCCACCCCCTTTAGAGTCGTGAAGAACGTTTTTCGTCGACACCCCCTTTAGAGTCGTGAAGAACGTTTTTCGTGGGCACCCCCATTTAGAGTCGTGACTGAACGGTTTTCGTGGGCACCCCCATTTAGAGTCGTGACTGAAGGTTTTTCGTGGCCACCCCCTTTAGAGTCGTGAAGAACGTTTTTCGTGGCCACCCCCTTTAAAGTCGTGAAGAACGTTTTTCGTGGGCACCCACTTTAGAGTCGTGACTGAACGGTTTTCGTGGCCACCCGCTTTAGAGTCGTGAAGAACGTTTTTCGTGGGCACCCCCATTTAGAGTCGTGACTGAACGGTTTTCGTGGCCACCCCCATTTAGAGTCGTGACTGAACGGTTTTCGTGGCCACCCCCATTTAGAGTCGTGACTGAAGGTTTTTCGTGGCCACACCCTTTAGAGTCGTGAAGACCGTTTTTCGTGGGCACCCACTTTAGAGTCGTGACTGAACGGTTTTCGTGGCCACCCGCTTTAGAGTCGTGAAGAACGTTTTTCGTGGCCACCCCCATTTAGAGTCGTGACTGAACGGTTTTCGTGGCCACCCCCATTTAGAGTCGTGACTGAACGGTTTTCGTGGCCACCCCCATTTAGAGTCGTGACTAAACGTTTTTCGTGGCCACCCCCTTTAGAGTCGTGAAGAACGTTTTTCGTCGACACCCCCTTTAGAGTCGTGAAGAACGTTTTTCGTGGGCACCCCCATTTAGAGTCGTGACTGAACGGTTTTCGTGGGCACCCCCATTTAGAGTCGTGACTGAAGGTTTTTCGTGGCCACCCCCTTTAGAGTCGTGAAGAACGTTTTTCGTGGCCACCCCCTTTAAAGTCGTGAAGAACGTTTTTCGTGGGCACCCCCTTTAGAGTCGTGACTGAACGGTTTTCGTGGTCACACCTATAGGGTCTTGACTGACCGAATTTCGTGGTCACGCCCATAGCGTCGTGACTGAACGTTTTTCGTAATAAAATAATAAAATCGTTGTGATTAGAGCCCGCATTGCGGGCTTAAGAGACTAGTAAAAAAAGGAAAGGCCAACTTCACACTAGTGATGAAGGAGACCAGATTAAAAAATTGAGGAAATTTGTACTCCGGGCGACAGGTTGAGCTCAATTACATATTTAGTTAAACTACAGTGAAGTTTTTTTATTACACAAACTAGCTTTTAACGGACCTGTTTTCAGAGATGGGTGATTAAACACTTTTTTTCTCCGGATTAGGGATTAAGGATTAGTTTCCTTGGATTGTTGGATTAGGATTAGGATTAGAATTGGTCAATTTTCTGGGATTAGATTTTTCTGGGATTAGTTTTTGTAGAAGAGCATCCTGGATTAAGGATTAGAATTAAATAATCAGGATTAGTTCTGTGATTAAGGATTAGTTTGAATTTATTAAGTCGTCAAGCGTACTATGGTACAGGCAACAAAAACCTACATACACATACGTAGAAAGCAGCATGAAGCTTCGCAAATTTTAAAATGCAAGAAATAAATACATTTTCCATTTCCCGGATGGAGCCACGCTTTAAGCCGTACAAAACTTGTTAAAGTCTTACGAACTATTCGGACGTTAGACTTAATTTATGTAATTTTGTAAAAGCAGTTATCCCGGTTCACTTTTTTATTTTAGACGATGGAAACATTTAGAAATTTAGGCAGTGCTGGTTTAATTGGGGAGCAAAATGGGATATACATACATTAATTAATTTAGTTTGGAAATTGATTTTTTGTGAAGCTTATAATAAAAATAGAAAGTTGCAGCTGAATTGTTGATTAGTTGAACCAATAAAATAATAACGAGAGACTAAATGCTGGCAATTCATGGGCAACAAGAGTAGTTTTTGATAAAAAACTAATCCTTAATCGTGATTAGTTTTTTATTAAGGATTATTTTCAGAGTTTTCTGCCGGGATTAGGATTAGTTTCACAAGAATAGAATTGTGGATTAAGGATTAGGGATTAGTTTCAAAATTTTGTCTTTGCTGGATTAAGGATTAGGGATTAACTAATTCTAATCCGGATTAGTAATAACCAATCCCTTATCCGGATTTTTCCCAACTCTGCCTGTTTTAAATATTTCAGAAAATAAAGACCCTTCACCACCCTCCTCTAGCACCCCTGTCGAAATGAAAAGCGAGGATACCTTTCCCCGTGACTGTGAAGACGGCATGGAATTTGAATTCTGCATCATTCCAGACGTCCCCCCAACAGGGGGGACGGATAGGCCCCCAACGCCCTCCACCAATACCATTCCAGCACGGTATCCAAACCTATAATTACCTCTGCTGACTCACTTAAAAATTATTAGATCGAGTGAACCTTTCCTTAATTGCCGACATTATATAGTTCCATATCTTCATAATTAACAGCTTTACCTAATTTGTTTGTTGAAATTAATTAACTTCTAGCGCTAAACGAAAACGAGGGCAGGATTCGCCCCCACTGAAAAAACGAAAGGAGAAGAATAGAGCAAAAAATCCGCTCTCGGATCAAGAAGAGGGCAGAAAAAAGGTCACTTCTCCTCCTCCAAACGAGATCAAAATTCTAAAAGTGTCCCTGGAAAGGATTGACCATCCAATTTCAACTCCTCTTTAGGGATGTACCGAGTAGTGAAAAATGAGACTCGGCCGAGCACCGAGTAATTCATAAAAATTGGGCAAAATTTAATAACACTGAATATCTTCCAGCGTAATCTACCTAATTTTGACGATACTATTGTCGCTACAATTATGTAGACAGGTTTGGCGGAGATATTTGCATACAAAGAGGTGAAAACGTGTCTTAAAGTTAACAAATTTTACATTTTCCAAATTCACTGCATGTTTTTTTCCTATTCGGATACAAATATCTATGAAATATCTGCAAATAATGGATAGATATTTGCATTATGTAGGAGATATTGTCCTATAAAATTGTGATACATTAACCACATAAATCTGTGATCAATTTAAATTAATTTGGTCAGAATCCATTAGCATACGTTTGGTGATATCCATTGCTGGCACAGTCCAAAAACAACTCGTCAATTTCGTCGTCACTGATTAATTGAGACTTAAAATACGCAAAAATGTTACGAAGCATATTTTGCAAAACCCAAAATGCAAGAAAACTTCATGAAATAAGTTTCATGGACAAGATAATTTGTTAAAAAATGGCCAAAAAATTGAGAAAATACTCGGCCGAGTGGGGCGACAATACTCGGCCGAGTCCGAGTAGTAAAAATACACGCCGAGTCGGCCGAGTACTCGGCCTGGCCGAGTACTCGGTGCATCCCTACTCCTCTTACTCCCGGCCCCCTCATCAAATCCTCACTGGATCAAAAATCCGAAAAATCAAAATCCGAAACAAAATCCAAATTCCCTCAAACAGATTCCCATGCAGAAAATCACAACGATCTCAACCCCTTAGAAAACAAAGTCGATCCACCCTTGCAATGTCCCACTTGTTCCAAATCCTTCGTGACGAAACGCTCCTTGGATCGACACCTCACCCGCGTCGTCCCTTGCCCTTCTTCCTATCTCTGTCCTGTCCCCACCTGCTCCTTCTCAACCGCCAACAAACGACGCTTTGAGAGTCACATGGTTCATTTTCACAAAGACGTCGCCATTCATGGGTGTCGCCTCTGTGAAAAAATGTTCCGCAAAAAAGCAGCACGTGCCGTCCACATGGTCATTCAGTACGAGGACGGAGAGAAGAAATTTCCCTGCGAAAAATGTGGGAAAAGTTTCGCCCTCGAGGAAAATCTGAAGCGCCACGTGGAACTTCACAAGGTCGAAGGGATCAAACCTCTGATTTGTGAGGTGTGCGATGGACGATTTAAGGACGAGAAGGACCTCGAAGGGCATATCGCGAAGAGGTAATTAATATTTATTATCAATCAAACAATGGAGGTCGTGACTTAAAAAAATCACGAGACATGCTTTTCATGAAATTTCCTCCGGAATTTGTAAAATTGTTGGAACAATTTCTGAAAACCTTCCTAAATTTCCTGGAAATATTCCACTGAAAGGTTCTTTCGGAGGAAAATATTTTATCTTCGGTCATGGGAAGATTTGTAAGATTTTGTATGATTAAAAAAAGTTAAGAGAAACACGTGCTAAAACACGTGTAACATTTTTTTGCACACGTGTTAAAATACTAAGAACGAACTTTAATTAAACGTTTATTTCGCCATAACCCAGCCACCTCGGGGAGAAAGTGAGACGTGAGAGGTGCGACCATTGCAAAATGACCTTCTCGGACTGACCTTCACGCGCCACACTTTGCGAATGCACGCCACCACCAAGGAACACGTCTGCCACGTGTGCGGAAAGGAATTCAGCAGAGAGGGATTCCTCAAAAAACACCTCAGAATCCACGACGACTCCAGCCGTCCAGGGTGTGACCTCTGTGGGGCAAAGTTTGCCTGTACGAACAGCGTCCAGGCCCACAAGGTCAAGGAGCACGGGGCTGACCCCTGCATTTGCGATGAGTGGTGAGTAATTTAATTTTGCCCAAAATATAAATGATTGATGAATATGTTTTTAAGGACGATTTATGTAACTCTGCAGTGGAGAAACTTTCACCACCCTCAGGGGGTTGAATTTCCACAAGTGGAGGCACATGGGGTTAAGACCCCACAAATGCGAGGTAAGGAAGAAATAATAGTTCTAGTTAATAATTATTCATATAAACTTGTTGCTCGTCACTATTTCTACCAAGTATTTATTGTCAAACCCAAAATTCTCCAAATAATAACATTATTTATTAAGTAACGTCAGCTACTTATTGTCATACGTCGGATATGAATGAAAAATGACTTTTTCCACTTAGCTTTAGTTTAGCGACCTACAGTCGCTAAACTTTCTGAGAATGTTTATGGTCACTAGTAGGTCACGTAGGTCAAAGCATATTTTCTCATATTGGTCATATTTTAGGGTTTTAGGGCATATTCATATTCCCGATCATATTTCGGGCTTTTGTCGTTCATTTTATCATTTTTGGCCAAATTCTAAGATTTGGCAACCAAATCAGCAGAAAATGACAAAAGAGTCAGTTTTCCCACAATGATTCATTGTGAGAAACTTGCATAAATTTACATTCACTTTCGCCTAAGGTGATTTAATTCATTGGGAACGAATTAAATCACCCCAGAACTTGTTTTATTGCTAAAAATTAAGTATTACAAGAAAAAATATAAAAAATTAAGCCAAAAATTTAAAAAATAAAATCATTTTTATGGTCATATTTTGGGGATTTTTACGGTAATTTTTCATTCATATTTTGAGGTTTTATCGGTCATTCATATCCGACGTCTGCTTATTGTGATCGTTTTGTCCGTCCGTCCGTAAGCAGGATATCTTCAGAACGAGTTAACATAATCAAACCCCGTTTTCAACATTATGTTTCAAATTTTTAGTTCTCGGTCGAGTTCGAAAATGGGGCCAATCGGACCATACACCATAACACCATACACTACCCCTCAGGGGGTATGGTATGGTCCAAATTAAATTTAACTTTAATTTTCACATGGGGTATCATTTCAAAGAAAATTTCACCAATGGTATCAAAATTTTTGACCTCGTAACCTTGAGGACGAGGTTAAAGGTTAAAAAATACGTAATTGTCAGATATGGTGTCATTTTAAAGGACATTTCGATCATTCTGATGCTACTTTTTTATATTTGTTTATTAATTTCCCCAACTAAGCCAAATTCTCCTTTTTTCAGACCTGTGACGCCACCTTTATTCGCAAGGGAGAACTCAAATCTCACCTGAAGTCCCACTCCCTTCAACGCCCCTTCCCCTGCCCCCACTGTGATAAGGCGTTCAAACACTCGCACAAACTACGCGACCACCTCAACCGCCTCCACACCCCTGGGTACGTCCGCAAACTCCGAAAATGCCCCCACTGCGAAAAGTCCTTCCGGGGCCGGGCCACCCTTAAGAGGCACCTTATTCGAGCCCATGGTCAAGGGGGGCCCTTCCCCTTTCCCTGCGACCAGTGCGGAAAGGGATTCGTCTTCAGCGCCGAGCTCGCCCTCCACTTGAAGCGGGTGCACACTGTGGATGCTAGTGCCCGACGGAGGAAAAGGGTGCAAAGGGCCAGGAGGGCGGCGACCCCCAAGATAAGGAAGAAGGTTACCAAGGCCCTACAGTCCATCCGGGATAAGTTTCTGGCCGCAGGGGGGGAACTTTCCTTCATTTGCGAGCACTGTGGGAAGGGCTACATGGCGAAGGCAAGCTTGCAACGCCATCTTAAAAAGGTACACGGCGTTCTGGGGGCAAGGCAGATCGCGACAAAGTTCAAGAGGGGGAGGTCAAGCGTCCAGAGGAGAAAGGGGAGAAGGACCAAGAAGAAGGAGGGGAAGAAAAATTCCAAGAGGGGCACGGTCCCGGAAGGGGATCCTTAATTTGCAATAAGAACTTAATTTATTTTACGACTTTACTCTTGGGTAGAAGTGTTAATAAAAGAAAGTGAAATGAGATCTATCTATTCCCGTCCAATTTTTGAAAGGAAACTGCTTTGGGACGAATTTAATTCCATCTGCCTACAAAAATAAAATTCTGGACCACACCCCCTGGCCCCACGGGGGGGGGGGTGGTCCGATCAAAGTTAAAAATAGTAAATGGCTACCAATAATATGTACATGCATGCATACATACCTATACATAAATAGTACATATGCTCACATGCAAATATTTTCCATAATTTTTGCACAATTAAGAGGAATATTCATTTAATTTCCTTTGATGTTACTACACTGTACGAAGCACATAAAGAACTTATGTACTGTGCATAGGTTATCCAAAAGTACCCTTTTACTCATTCATCTCTATGCAATTTTCCATGCAACTCTTCCATGCAACTCTTCCTGCAGACAAAGTGAATGCATAAAGGGAACGTTCATATTTCAAACGTCATCATTTTAGTGGGCGGGTGGTTTAGGTCTTCCTATATTTCCCATGTTAAAATTTCCTATCCGTTTAAGCATACGTGGGTGGGTGGGTGGTAATCGAAAATTTTCGATGACGTAATATTAATATATGGACGATCCCAAAATAAGTAAGAGTGGTGGTGATATGAGCAGCCGGGAAGTTCCAGATGTTTCCACAACAACAGTAACAACTTTACACTATAGCAATAAACACTTAAAACCCACAATTGAAATAAAATATTAGCGACCCTATAATTGTAAATCGTAACCAACAATTTACGCGACATCCAAGCTTGTAACGAATATGTGTAATTATAATTTAGCAGTCTCTCTAAACAATTTGAATTGAAATTCTACCTTGTCACACTCTTTTTCTTCGGAAAATCCAATAACAACACGTCTAAGGTTTAGCCATTCCAAAGAAACGTAAAAATGTAATCGAGTTGACATAAACGCAATTAATTTGTAACCATGTCCAAGAAATTAAGTGTTATTAAACGACCACCGGATCTCACACGCGAAGATATTCCGTATTCCCAAGGCGAGGGCTACAGACTTATTTGAGGGCTTTTCCGAAAACTGTGAGTGTGCCCGTAATTCGAGGACTGAGTGCCGGTATTCAGACACGAGCCACGGGTCAAAAACACAAATATACTTGAATTTTCGTCCAAATTTGAACATTCGTAAAGTCACCTGGTAGTTGTTAAAATATGCATGTTAACAAAGTTTTCCATATTTATCAATTTTTAAGTTTGTCGACTTTTATGAGGGCTGAGCATTTTCCAACCTTTTTCCCAGGACAAGGGATTAAAAGGGTCATTTTGTTTTTATGCCTCATTAGAAGGGACACTTCGTTTGAGCATAACTCTGCGTAGTTTGTATGGTCACTTCTGACCACATATTATTACATATGTATGAATGTCTAATATGTACTGTCAAAACCTTAAAACCAAGTTGTTTAATAAAAATCACTATCAGTCTAAAAATATCTTCCAGCGAGAGCATTTTTACTTTCAGTAGTGACTCACGCGTTCTTATGAATAAGCCGAGGTAACTGACGCGTTGGTTTAGTTTTGGTTGTAGACGGATGTAAATTGCCCACATTTGCTTAAAATATTCCAGCGTAGTGGATGGCTTCGTTGTTTTTGTGCTGCTTAGCCACTGGTTGCTGGCCAACGTTTTTCGTCAAAATTAATTCAGGTAATCGTACTCGTCATTTCAATATTTTTCAGCCGATTTGGCTCGCAGATGGCGCATTTTGTTGGTAATTTCAGTACCTCCAAACCAGCCCTGGATAAGCATCAGATCAAGTTCGTTCAAAGTGGAGAAAACCTATGGTTTGCGAATTTTGGTCTGTGGTTCCCTTGAGGAGTTTAGTTCAAAACGTTAGATCGCCGAGGGTTACAGACTTATTTGAAGGCTTTTCCGAAACCAACCCACCTTTTTATGTTGCTAAGGAATTTTTTCTATGTTGCTAAGGAAATTTTTTTAGGTTGGTAAGGAATTTTTTTTATGTTGCTAAGGAATTTTTTATGTTGCGAAGGAAATTTTTTTATGTTGCTAAGTAAATTTTTTTTATGTTGCTAAGGAATTTTTTTTATGTTGCTAAGGAATTTTTTTCTGTTGCTAAGTAATTTTTTTTATGTTGCTAAGGATTTTTTTATGTTGCTAAGGAATTTTTTATGTTGCTAAGGAATTTTTTTATGTTGCTAAGGATTTTTTTTAAGTTGCTAAGCAAGTTTTTTATGTTGCTAAGGAATTTTTTTATGTTGCTAAGGAAATTTTTTTATGTTGCTAAGGAAGTTTTTTTATGTTGCTACGGAATTTTTTTATGTTGCTAAGGAATTTTTTTTATGTTGCTAAGGAAATTTTTTTAGGTTGGTAAGGAATTTTTTTTATGTTGCTAAGGATTTTTTTTTATGTTGATAGGGAATTTTTTTTATGTTGCTAAGGAATGTTTTTCATGTTACGAAGGAAATTTTTTTATGTTGCTAAGGATTTTTTTATGTTGCTAAGGAATAGTCAATCATGATCATAATCACAATCATAATTCGTATCTGTTTCCTGATGGGTGGAGCTGCATTTAAATTAGATATTGACCAGGCAGAACCTTTGCTTCCTAGTCGATCTTGTCTAAAACAACTTCGCCAGTCGTCAGATCGGAAAAACTTTTTAGCCGTGATGTCAACTTTGGGCTTCCTGATGACGCTGACTGTAAACAGAGAGAAAGTGACGTAGATAGATGAATTGGATCGGTAAAATACTAATTGGCGTGGAAATTGGCGTGCTATAAATTTGGCAGAGAAATTGGCATGGAAAATTGGCGTGCTAAAAATTTGGCAGAGAAATTGGCGTGCTAAAAATTTTAGCATAGAATTGGCACAGAAATTGGCGTGCTAAAAATTGGCAGGATCAAAAATGGCACAGAAATTGGCGTGGTAACAAGTTAGGATGGCAATTGGTACAAAATTGGCACGACCACGCAGCGCGCCTCCTCCCTCGCGGACCGCTCCTCCATCCTGCCCAAGCTCTCCGAGTCCCGTTTAAAACAGCTCTACGCCATAGTCGAAAACCTGCTCAAGATTCAGGACAAAATGTGTTCAAAAAAGGGCAGTAACTCGGGCTCTCGGTGTGTTTACTTTTGGTAAATACTAAAAGTAAATAAAATAAAGTAAAATATAAATATAAAATATAAATAAAATAAAATAACCCTGAAAACATTTCATCAAAACAAACAAACTCACTTGTTAAACGTGAACTATTTATGGCGTCCAGTAGCACCCCCGTGATGATTTCGATACCCGGGTTTCCGCATGTTGACCCTGTTGACGGAAGGTATCGCGGTTTTCCCTTCGCTCCCACTGTGCCCGTTGGACGAGGTTAAGTCATCCTCCTCGGGGTCGGAGAGCTTGTTGTCGTTTTCCCCCCGTGGACATTGTACTTTTAGCTGCCGGGCCTGTTCCTGCCGCTTGCTGGTGACCTTTCCCCCTTCAACTTGTCCGCGATACCGCACCATTCCTGACCTTGACCTTGACGACAATCGATAAAGAATGTTAGCCAGAACGGCTGATCTGACCAGATTTCACCTCAGCTTTCCCGCCTCCAATCCAGCCATTGAGTAGTCTACATATTAAGCAAATATACAATTAAACGCAACAATTAAATTAACTAATCAAGTCAGTTTAGTCAAATTATAGACTGTGTAACTTGTCCCATATCCTCACTTCTTCGAGTGAGAAAGGGACGGTGGAATTGCAGCTCGATTTGCTGCCTCGATGATTGTTGAAACCAGTTTGGTGTTGTAAATATATTTATGTGTGATTTTGTGTGTGTGAGATTTTGTCTCAATTTTGTATATTTTGAAGTAAGCGGTGTGATGTGGTGCAGAATTTGAGTGCAGTTGAATATGCGTAGCACGCCGTCATTATTCAGTAGTAGTGAGTTAGACACCGAGCTGAGTGGTGTGAAATATTAATTAGAATTTTGTGAGTAGATTTTTGGGTTGACAATTAGCCTTAAATTGTTTGTTTGTGTGAAATAAAGTAGTTTTTGTCATTATTCAAATACGACCAGTTTTCCAACACAGTTTATTCCTCATCTTAACACTCACAAGAACTTCCGACTAATTCGTTCTCGGACACTTTTTGTGGAATAGTGAACTCGGGTAGAATTCACATTTTAGATTCCACATTTTTTGGTGACCTCGACGTGATCGAGTCGAGTTGGTCACAAGTTTTGTTCTGTGGTGAAGTGATAAGTGCGCCGTTCGAGATTAAACCCGTAAGGAGTGGACGTCAATCCTGCACCGAAGGAGAGAAGTGGGTGGTCCATTGGGAGGTCATCGTTCGTGCCATCTGGAGAGGAAAAATCTGTATTTAGCGGTGCTGTACCCGTAGTACAGCATCCAGAGGTCGTATTGTTCCAGGAGGGAAATTTTTGGACAAATTTTTTGATTTGTTTTTGTTTGTTGGATTTGCTGGTCCTATAGAGCCATGATGAAGGAGGACCAGGCAGAGCTCAAGAGGGAGGAAAGGACCAGACGACCACCAGACCGTCTCGACCCTAGTTGGGCAACTCCCGTCGGGAGGAAGAAGAAAGAACAAGTGCAGATTGAAGAGGTAGAGCCTGCAAGTCCTGCCAGCCCGAAGAAAGAGGGACCGTCGCTAATGTCGCGGATCTTGGGATTTGGGAGGAAGCAGGACAGTGCGCGGTCGGCGTCAACAACGAGTTCGGCTGTCAGAAGAAGAAGTCAAGCAGAGGCTGCACATCAGGCGAAGATTGCAGCCGTCCTTCAAGAAATATCAGAGTTGGAGGAAGCGATGGAGTTGCATGAGTGTGAAGTGCAGTCCTTGAAGACTGAAATTCAAAGGAAAAGTGCGCTCATCAACCCGACTCTTCCTAGTTACAAGCCGGAAGAGGCTGAAAAGTTTAAACAAGAAATTGCTGTCATGAGTGACGAGCTCATCATACTGCGA